TTTATTGATGGGTGAACATGGACAACAGGTGTAAGAAAACACGCCATATTTTTCTACCCTCGCCGGGAATCGAACCCGGACATTCATCGTGTGAAGCGAGAGCTTTGCCACCAACAACACTGCACCTTACTACTGGTTGTGCTTGAGTGCACCTACCCAGAAAAACATGGGAAATGTTCTTCTTAAGTGTGTCCTCCATACAAACCATCAGGGAAGAATTATACTTCAGTAAACTCTTCTGAAAGTAACTGGGATCGTAATCTCGTTAAATATGTTCGGCACGAATCATCTTGAGGCATCTGGGTGAATATACACAGCTAGTGGTGAATAACAATATCCATTCACCCACAAAAGTGCAGACAACAATAGTTAATGATGTAAGTGAATCCATGTGTTCTCTATATTTCGATGTCTCAGTATGACCCTCATCAGCAGAACAAAACATGTACGAGAGCTGAGGCTTACAACACAAACACTGATGACCTGACTTGGGTCTTGTGACTTGTTTTGTTTAGCTTAACCTCTGGAATTGTTTATTTTGTTGAAGAGGGTCTTATTATGAGGTCGAGATGTACGGTACTCATTTTCAGTATAATTGCGTCTATTTGTGTTAGTTTGCATGTTTATGTTTATATATAAAACGTTGTTCCGTGGCTTGGTTGGTAGCGCACTCGGCTCACATATTGAGGTTCGTGGTTCGATCCCCGGTACGAGTGGAAATATTCGGGAGTGTTTCTTTAAACACCTGCTATCCCTGTTCACCAAGGAGTAAGTAAGTACCTGGGTGTTAGCTGACGGATGTAGGCCGCATCCTGGGGACAAAATTAACCTAATTTGCCCGAAATAACAAGGGGTTTTCTATATAGTTTGTGATGTCAGCTAGGTCTGTATAAACACATATGCAGTATAATGTGATCCTTTATTGACAACGTTTCGCCCACACAGTGGGCTTTTTCAAGTCACAAACAGATCTACCTGGGGTGGAAGGTACGCGAGTTTTTATAGTCAGGTTCAGAATGGGTATCTTCCACCCCAGGTGGATCTGTTTGTGACTTGAAAAAGCCCACTGTGTGGGCGAAACGTTGTCAATAAAGGATCACATTATACTGCATAAGTGTTTATATATCCATTGTGTCGGTATTTTATACCATTTATTTCCATAGGTCTGTATAAGTTGTATCATGAAGAAATAAATTATTATTGTGTATAAAATTATATAAGTGTTGAGGAGGTGTTGTATGAACGTTTGTGGGAGTTAAATTTGTATGCAGGAGAGAAGACTGCAGCCACAATGACAGAACCTTTGTGGCGACTTAATCTGATATGTGTGAAAAATGTTGTGAGCAGAATAAACGTGTTGAGAGGAAGTAAGAGCGAGGCTGACGCACCTTGGAACAGTTTTCTACCGAAGTGACGCCTCTTATACCAACTTTTATCACAAAGAAAACGAGCAATGCTTCACACATGACAGATAACGAGATATAAACAGAATATTGAAGTTTTAGTGCGTCTCTGTTACATTATCTACTTGTAGTTAATGCAGCATTTCTCTGCAGTGAACAGGCGGGGCCAGGAGCTATGACTCGACCCCTGCAACTACAGTTAGGTGAGAGGTCAAGGATATGTATACAAAGAGGTGTATGTTTCACGTGTGTAATACACTTGAGAGTCGACCTTAATAGCTGCTTCAGGTGTTATGGTATTTTTGACTGTTGGTGAACCACTGTAGTGGTTAGTAGACTTTAAACCTGATAAACCAACTAATTTACATAACCAAGTTATCTTAACATTGTCTCCTACACTCACATGTTATATCTTCGCTGTATACATTCCTCACTGTACCGTCTCCACTGACTTCAGCCTCCTCACTGTACCGTCTCCACTGACTTCAGCCTCCTCACTGTACCGTCTCCACTGACTTCAGCCTCCTCACTGTACCGTCTCCACTGACTTCAGCCTCATCACTGTACCGTCTCCACTGACTTCAGCCTCCTCACTGTACCATCTCCACTGACTTCAGCCTCCTCAACTGTACCGTCTCCACTGACTTCAGCCTCCTCACTGTACCGTCTCCACTGACTTCAGCCTCCTCACTGTACCGTCTCCACTGACTTCAGCTCCTCACTGTACCGTCTCCACTGACTTCAGCCTCCTCACTGTACCGTCTCCACTGACTTCAGCCTCCTCACTGTACCGTCTCCACTGACTTCAGCCTCCTCACTGTACCGTCTCCACTGACTTCAGCCTCCTCGCCGAACCATCTCCACTGACTTCAGCCTCCTCGCCGAACCATCTCCACTGACTTCAGCCTCCTCACTGTACCGTCTCCACTGACTTCAGCCTCCTCACTGTACCGTCTCCACTGACTTCAGCCTCCTCACTGTACCGTCTCCACTGACTTCAGCCTCCTCACTGTACCGTCTCCACTGACTTCAGCCTCCTCGCCGAACCATCTCCACTGACTTCAGCCTCCTCACTGTACCGTCTCCACTGACTTCAGCCTCCTCGCCGAACCATCTCCACTGACTTCAGCCTCCTCGCCGAACCATCTCCACTGACTTCAGCCTCCTCACTGTACCATCTCCACTGACTTCAGCCTCCTCACTGTACCATCTCCACTGATTTTCAGCCTCCTCACTGTCCCATCTCCACTGACTTCAGCCTCCTCACTGAAACCATCTCCACTGACTTCAGCCTCCCTCACTGTACCATCTCCACTGACTTCAGCCTCCTCGCCGAACCATCTCCACTGACTTCAGCCTCCTCGCTGAACCATCTCCACTGACTTCAGCCTCCTCGCTGAACCATCTCCCCCTGACTTCAGCCTCCTCGCCGAACCATCTCCACTGACTTCAGCCTCCTCACTGTACCATCTCCACTGACTTCAGCCTCCTCACTGTACCATCACCACTGACTTCAGCCTCCTCACTGTACCATCTCCACTGACTTCAGCCTCCTCACTGTACCATCTCCACTGACTCAGCCTCCTCACTGTACCATCTCCACTGACTTCAGCCTCCTCACTGTACCATCTCCACTGACTTCAGCCTCCTCACTGTACCATCTCCACTGACTTCAGCCTCCTCACTGTACCATCTCCACTGACTTCAGCCTCCTCACTGTACCATCTCCACTGACTTCAGCCTCCTCACTGTACCATCTCCACTGACTTCAGCCTCCTCACTGTACCATCTCCACTGACTTCAGCCTCCTCACTGTACCATCTCCACTGACTTCAGCCTCCTCACTGTACCATCTCCACTGACTTCAGCCTCCTCGCCGAACCATCTCCACTGACTTCAGCCTCCTCGCTGAACCATCTCCACTGACTTCAGCCTCCTCGCTGAACCATCTCCACTGGCTTCAGCCTCCTCGCCGAACCATCTCCACTGACTTCAGCCTCCTCACTGTACCATCTCCACTGACTTCAGCCTCCTCACTGTACCATCACCACTGACTTCAGCCTCCTCACTGTACCATCTCCACTGACTTCAGCCTCCTCACTGTACCATCTCCACTGACTTCAGCCTCCTCACTGTACCATCTCCACTGACTTCAGCTTCCTCGCCGAACCATCTCCACTGACTTCAGCCTCCTCGCTGAACCATCTCCACTGACTTCAGCCTCCTCGCCGAACCATCTCCACTGACTTCAGCCTCCTCGCTGAACCATCTCCACTGACTTCAGCCTCCTCACTGTACCATCACCACTGACTTCAGCCTCCTCACTGTACCATCTCCACTGACTTCAGCCTCCTCACTGTACCGTCTCCACTGACTTCAGCCTCCTCACTGTACCGTCTCCACTGACTTCAGCCTCCTCACTGTACCATCTCCACTGACTTCAGCCTCCTCACTGTACCATCTCCACTGACTTCAGCCTCCTCACTGAACCATTAGCAGCGACAGCCTGGTTAAACGGGTGGTCAGTGGATGTGTGGTGTTTATACTGGGTTGGTAGGGAACAAACACTTGCAAGTTGCCACAAGTAGTACACACACACTAACACAAAAAGGCTAATATCGCCTTATACTCCTTCAACTGATTCATTTCATCGTACACACGCATCTGTTCACACACGCATCTGTTCACACACGCATCTGTTCACACACGCATCTGTTCACACACGCATCTGTTCACACACGCATCTGTTCACACACGCATCTGTTCACACACGCATCTGTTCACACACGCATCTGCTCACACACCTATCTGCTCACACACCCATCTGCTAACACACCCATCTGCTCACACACCCATCTGCTCACACACCTATCTGCTCACACACCCATCTGCTCACACACGCATCTGCTCACACACCCATCTGCTCACACACCCATCTGCTCACACACCTATCTGCTCACACACCTATCTGCTCACACACCCAGCTGCTCACACACCCATCTGCTCACACCCATCTGCTCACACACCCATCTTCTCACACACGCATCTGCTCACACACCTATCTGCTCACACACCCATCTGCTAACACACCCATCTGCTCACACACCCATCTGCTCACACACCTATCTGCTCACACACCCATCTGCTCACACACGCATCTGCTCACACACCCATCTGCTCACACACCCATCTGCTCACACACGCATCTGCTCACACACCTATCTGCTCACACACCCATCTGCTCACACACCCATCTGCTCACACACCCATCTGCTCACACACCTATCTGCTCACACACCCATCTGCTCACATACGTATCTGCTCACACACCCATCTGCTCACACACGTATCTGCTCAGACACCCATCTGCTCACACACGTATCTGCTCACACACCCATCTGCTCACACACCCATCTGCTCAATCACCCATCTGCTCACACACCCATCTGATCACACACCCATCTGCTCACACACGTATCTGCTCAATCACCTATCTGCTCACACACCCATCTGCTCACACACGTATCTGCTCAATCACCCATCTGCTCACACACCCATCTACTCACACACCCATCTGCTCACACACCCATCTGCTCA